AAACACGAAGAAGTTTCAGCGCTGCTTTTTGCCTCCGTGGAGGATTCGGGCTGGTAATTGAAAAATCCGATGTGTATTTTTCACTTTTTCAGCTCAGCGTGGATAGAATTCTTGTTAATCGTGTAATCACGCAAAAACATCGCGATATTTTATCGTCGCAATATATTTTTTACAACATATATGTATATTTTTTTTTAATATTTTTTACAATATATTTAAGCTAACCAGAACGTGAAATTGAAACGTAATAATAACACATATTTGAACAGAGAGAAGATCAAATTACTATCTTTTGCTGTTTTCTATTTCGTTAAATAAACGCGAACAGGTTTCGTTATCTGAATTCTATAATACACATACATCTGTTCTACTTTTCTATTAGATGATACCCTCCCTGTATCAATTCTAACGCGATAAAATTGCCGGGCAGCAATTTTCTCCATAACGGAGTTCTGCGAACGTATTTATTTCTAACCGCAAATACACGTGTAGGTTCAAAAAAACATTTTTTCTTTTCTCAAAGAAATCACGCACACCTGATCTCTTCTTCATTTCGATATAAGAGATTTGTGCGTAGAGATCAAGAGATCAGGAATTTTCATATCGGTAACAAATCGTGACGCAGAGAATACTTTATAAATAGAAAAAAAAAAAATATGCTTCCTTTTGTGTTTACCGATATTTGTTTCGTACTTACAAGCAAAAGATCAAAGTTCTGTCGGCGCGTGTGTTTGAAATGAGATAAAGATAACCGACTAGAGAATTTCTTTGACAAAGAAACAAGTCAAACAAGTCGCCTTTCGGTGTTCTGCGATAATTTTTCTCGTCGAGACCAGAAGCAGATCATCCCTCCCTCCCCCGAGACCGAGCTCGTTTCTTTTCTGGAATAAAATTCGGAATAGAGTGCACTCTATCTCATAAAAAACACGTAAAAACACCCGAAAAACAGGTTTCACGCGTTGCGGGATCGCAAAAAGGGAATGATATATACGCGATAGAGAAAAGATCAAAGTGTTAAAAGCTTGAAGTATATTCGGTGAGAGCGATGAGAAAAAAAACAACGTGAAAAGATCACGCGCTATTTGCACTTCTTAAGCGCCATCATAATTTTACACACGCGAACTAAACAAATTACATTATAAGTGCGGCATTGTTATACGATTATTTAAATGTTTCTTCTAAATATCTTCCAAGAACATAGTTATTTATTAGTACAAAATTAAAGTGCCACTAAATTTACTTTAATCGGAGGTGTATTCGTCGAGAGAACCAATCTATTTAGATAGATTCGCTAGGGTAGAGTTTCAATGTTTGCTTTAGTATAACACTTCATTCTCTGCGATTATATTGATTTATGGGAAGCGCCATAAAAGGTTGCACTTCGATTATTATAAGTCGTGAGAGAGAGAGAGAGAGAGACAGAAAGAGAGAAAGAGAGAGAAAGAGAAAGAGGTAGTCGGGGTTAATTAATATCGACGGCATATATAGAACCGAAAACACCGATTCGCTGTCTTAAGTGCCGTCGGTAAACGCCGCAGGATTCACCGATTCCGCTTCGATTAATGGCTAATTGCGGCCGATCATCTTCTGCTACGAAAACAACTCCGGGGCTCTGACGCGGCCAACTACAGCTTAATAACAGGAACCGATCGTGGAATTTCAGACGGTGGCTGAGCGTGGTTATTAAGTATCGGGAAGGTTATCCGATCGACCCGATACATCGCGGCCAACTCGGATTCAACAACGTTTTCTTATCCATCGATCAAGACCGGCGTGTTTCGCGCAAACCTCGAGAATCCTCCCATAAATCACCGACCGAGAGATTTGCGCTGACTCGCGCAATGAAAGTATTGAGAAAATGCTATCGATCTCGGACTTAATAAACTTGAAACGCGGCTTTTATAATATTCTCGTTGTGCAACAATATATACATATACGCATTGCGCCGATTGACTGATACTGATTGTAAACGATCGAGAAGCGATTATTGTTGTTTCGAAGCGAAGAGCCGCGATAATACTTCAGAAAAATTGCGCGATAACGCTTTTTTAACAGAGTATGCGATCTGCTAATAAATCAATGACAAAAAAAAATAATTAGAGAGAGACGTTTAGAAAAAAGAAGTACGAAGACAGTACGTGATTAAACGTTGTGAGAACACGTCACGGATAATCCTTCGTATTTAAGTCAAGTAATCCATCATGTTTCATTTTCAGCAAAGTTGATCAAATTCTAACGAATAGGTATACACACAGGTAGTATACAGGTAGTATACGAGATTATAAACAAAGTGAATTACGATCGCGAAAAAAAAGTATCTACTCTTAATGATTCGGCCGGAAGCAAAACGCAGCTTTGTGCTCTGTAGTGTTTTGTATTTTTTTCAATTAGATTAATTTGTGTGCGGTATAAACTTACAGAGGGATTTTATTTGATAAAAGAGCGAAATTGGATAAAACAATTCAGATTATATAAGAGTAAGCAGGTTTTTTCTTATTCCGAAGTGTTATCTAGTTCTTGCACGTGTAATTCACTGTATTTTCTACATAATTACTTTTCCTCTTAACGATTATGCAAATTGTCTTATAAATAGCGTTCATTTTCAATCTACTAGGATATATCACCTTAATTATACGCTTGCTATTTTAAATTAAAGCAAGGCTTCTCTCTTCACGCCACCGCCGCTTAATCGATTAAAGCGTGGAACTAATTTATAAGCGAGTATAAATCACGGCAGCGCCTAAGCAGAATACCGCGACGTCAGCATCCAAGGGAGCGTGAGAGAAAGAGAGAAAGAGAGAGAGAGAGAGAGAAAGAGACGGAGAAAAGAAGAACAAAGAACGCGTCAAACGGCGGTGGAAAAAAAAGAAATGCGATAATAAGTGTCGCGAGCGGAAAATAAGACACGCTCCACCTCAGTTCGACACATCGAATTACTAGGTCGAGAGAATCCGCGAGAGAGAAAGAAAGAAAAAGAGAGAGAAAGTGATGAGAGCCGAGGGTGGATCGTTAAAATTGCAAGTCCGATTTTATCCCCCTCTAGCGTTTTGTACTTCCTTCTCTCCTTCTGCGTTTTCAATTATTCTGTTATATTTTCGAGATGTCACGAAGTGGACCGGCTGGTGGACAGCGTACTTGACAAGAGGAAGTTACGGCACGATTCTTGTCCAAGTATGTACTTCTCCGAGCTTCTCGAGAATTCAATGGATCGAAGTCCAGAATGAGAAAGAGAGAGAGAGAGAGAGGGAGAGGAAGAGGTCACCAGGACACACTGATATCGATGATATAGCGAGTTCTCTTCAAGAGACCATTTGAAATTGAACGACTTATAAAAGCATTGTGAACGATGCGCGAAAAGAATAAGAAGTTTTAGTTCTTTCTAACAAAAATTACATTTCCGATATTGCTCTTTTCACTTATTACTCGGGCAGAGAACTCTTATGTATTTTTTCTGTCAATAATTAACTTGAAAAAGCAAACTAAGAGATAACTTTTCGTCTCTTAGTACGTTTCAAATTATTCCAACCTTTCTAGGAAAAAAACATCTCCGCAAACGGTTTTCGAAAACTTTTTAAATCAGTTTTTCTCTCTCTTTACCCGAACATCTCTCCATGTTTTATAACTAAAAATAATTGTCAATACTTTAACAAACGGACGTTGCGAAATCGCGACGGAAAACTAGTTAGAAATTCAGGGAAGTCGTGGAAAAATTTCACATGCATGCCGAGAGTTTTAAATTCCTCTTTCTCTTTCTCTCGCCGATGATCAAACTTTTGCTTGTGAGCGAAATTTGATAGATATAATACGTCAGACAGTGTCGGTTTAAAAATTGAAGTTGAGGAGTTTCAAATTTTTTGAATTACGAACCACCGAACTCTTGCGACATATCGGATCTGGCAACGAGGACGGGCCGAGGAATGATGAGAGGAGTCGAGGACCGTCGTCCGATAACGAAGACAACCCCCTCGAGACGCCTTCCTTGCTCACAGGTCGGATGAATAAACTCGGAACTAATTACCGTGATAAGTACGCGGAAGGATACACCCGGCACGCTCTTCCGAAGAGCAACTCCATATAATATTTAACGAGTGGCGGCTGCGCGCGCGCGCGCGCGTCATACCCGATGCACTTCAATCGGAGGAATGTCTGAAATATCTACTCGCGCGCAGTTGTGCCGGCGAGATAATATGTATGCGCGTCGCACTCGTGCGTCTGTTGGGCGGGACGCAAACGTTTATTACCTTGCAGCAATGCGTAATTAAAGTAGAATAGATGGCATTTAAGGCATCCCAACTACGACGCTGGCGGGTTGAATACCGCGCGCTGACGAAGGAGCGTCGTGATTTAACCGAGCACTCGTCGCTTATTAATCGGCTCGCACGAACCTTGTGTTTATTTACATATAACCGCGATAACCCGACAACGTTCTTTTACCCCCTCGAGCAATCATATGAATAGTTGCACAAGTAAACTCGAGTATATGCATGTAGGTAAGGTATGTTTCTCGGTTTGCACATCGACGTGAGAAAAGGGCAATTGAAATCAATCATCTCGAACAGATGATAAATACACGCTCGCGAAACACTCTTCTCTACGTGTTTACAAGTCAACGATTAATTTAAAAAAAAAAAAAAAAAAATATCAACTTATAACACACGTAAAATACAAACACTTCATATTTTTGAAGAAAAGATAACGAGTAATATTATAATTTTCAATTTGTTCTTTTCGCACGCAACCCACACATTGCGCCACGACGAAGAAAATTTCTTTTTTTTTTTTTTTTTTACCACGAAATAATTGGGGACCGCGTCTCAGAACTAATCGCAATTACGACGTTTTAACACCGGCGCTAATACGAGTGGTTGGGGAGAAAAGGGGGAGAAGAAACCCGTGCGGGGGAAAACGGCGAAGGAGAAGGAATTAAAGAAAACGGCGGTCGTAAAATAGTGTAGCGCGCCCCGTGTGTGTCGCTCGCTGACTAAAATTACCTGTTTCAGTGTGCAACTGCAACCTCCACGCGAGAAAGTGCAGATTCAACATGGAGCTGTACAAGCTGTCGGGCCGTGTCAGCGGAGGCGTTTGTCTGCAGTGCCGGCATTTCACGGCGGGAAGGCACTGTCATTACTGCCGCGAAGGTTACTACAGGGACCCGGCGAGACCGATGACGCATCGCAAGGCCTGCAAACGTAAGTGTTGTGTTGCGGACGGGGCCTCCTCGGTCCTCCGAACAATTACATATAAATCCAACAAAGACACTGCGCGCTCGCGCGGGGCAATTATGCGCGCGTCGCGTTTACCCAGCGCGCTCGATTATCCATTACCTCGGCGTGCGTGCTCGTAGCACGCTTAATTACGGAAGTGCCGTCGAACTTGCCGACGCCACAACCGGGGGCATCGCCGCTCGCGTGCGATTATTAGTAGGCGATGATAATGGCGTGTAGGATTTCTAATTCTTTATGCGTCTCTCGCCCGTTAAAGCGTTAATAAACGTGGCACCGTTCAAACGGGATAATTAAAGGATTCCGTAGGTCGTGCTTTCTCTAGCGCGCGCGCGCGCGCGCTGATCGACTCGCTTTCGATTCGAAAGCGCGAGATGCCGCGAGAGAGAATTTCGTCTCGATAATCTTCGCGAGAAAAAACAGAGACGTTCGGTCACAAGACAATTATATTTTTTCGAAACGGACAAATTTTGTTCTGTAAAGAAGATCTTGTGTTTCTATCGCGTCTGAACTAATAAGGTGCACTTAAAACAAAAACAAAAAAAAAAGAAAAAATTATAAAGTTACGTTCGAAGTCGCGTTGAGTTCCTTTGGAAAACTCGTTGAATGAGCGGCTAATCGAAGGGACCGGAGAAGCGCAAGGAAACACAACGGCGCTTCTTCCCAGCGCGACGCTATCGGGAGAGACGCTATTACCATTCGTCTCAGTCTCTCTATGGTACTGTTACAAAGTGGTTACCAGCTGAGCAACCCCCTAATCTCGGTGCATTCAATTTATGTACGTTTGTCTAGGCCCACGGACCGCCGCGGGGATAACGATCTCCCGGTGTGAGAAAGCGCGCGCGCGTTGGTGCATCGTGAACGCGCACCAAGCATGAGCGTGTGGTGCATTCCGCGCGCACGGGTCGTCCGTAACTGTACGACTGCTGTTGCTCCGTTGCCCGGAGTTCATCGCGACGTGAGAATAATAGCGGGAGTGCAATACCAGCGAGCGTAATGCCGTGACGAATGTAGAAAAGACCGTGTCCGAAGTTCAAAAACGCGAAAGTCGGTGCTCAATTAGGACGTTTTTTTTTTGTGACGTACACACGCTGAATCGAACGGCGAATTCTTTTTCTCCTCTTTCAGTTCGAACGTTCGAACATTATTGCATTTATGCCGCTTCAACGTTCGTTATTGATATAATGCAACACGTGTGCACTTTCGCAACGTGTCCACAACGGAGTACGTTCAGGTGGAGGTTGATTTTCTAATTAATCATCTTGCACACGCTGCGCAAGCGGAAACACTTTTCGCAACGCGCCTCGCTTTTACAACCGCGGGAGATTTTTCGCGAGATTCTGCCTCTCTGGCGGTATTCGTACTAGGTGGACGAGTTTCGCGCGATTAAGTATGTATGTCACCGGGCGGTTGTGCGGCGCGTATATATATTCTCGAACGGGGACTACTTGTCGCGCTGTGAGTTGCGAGGTTAATTAACTCTTCGCGGTCTGGCACCGTTTTTAACGTAGCTCGGCGTTTATGCTCGTCGCGAGAAGGACCAGTAGTTGTAAAGGAGAAATGCACGACCGCGCCCGGTAAGAACTTTACTTAAGGACCGACGTTTTTCTCGCCCGTCGCGATTGCACTTGTCAGCGAACAGACGTCGTCGAAAAATATTTTGCAGCTTCGAGTGTACGAACTTGAGAGAGAAGATAATTGTGTTTTCTTTTTGGTCGAGAGACAAACGTCGTGCAAACAAAAATATTTATAAATATTTTATTATCAGTTGAAAGAAATTGTTTTACTGTAAAAACCAATTTTTGAGATTCATTTAGTCGTCCATTAAATAAGAGACATTTTTTTACGTCAGATATTTTGATATTATCGTCTTTACGTCAGATCGTAAAAAGTCAATCATCATTAAACGATCTTAGTCTTTTCTCTCTTTTACGCTCTCGTGCGAATATCCTAGTTTTGAGGTGAAATCCGAATCAGCAGAAGTGCACGCGAAACAACTTCTATTTTAGGGGAATTTTATGACGGGAAAGATACACTTCGCCAAGTTGCCCTAACTCACCGGAGCGAGAGTGACTTATAGAAAATTCGACTGTGTGTCTAGCCGGATTCGAAATCTCTCGTTTATCAGCTCCGCGCGCTATAGGTTGCTCCGTTTGATAAACCAGTATAACAGGTACGTATCAAGAATCCGACGAGCGTATGAATGTTCGAATTTTTATATAAGTGATCAATGAACAGGTTCATCAAAACATGGTGACTGTGTATCCAGCGACTGGACGGCGATGTGGCGCACTTGTCGTCGTGATCCACCCTCGCGTTGTTTCCGGCTTTGGCGTGTAAAGCGCAAGAGTATCGTGTCGAGGGTCCGCTCTCGGCCACCGAGATAACGAACAGTCCGTATTCTCGTTAGCGGCCATGGCAACCGTTAAGATAACAGAGAGACACGACACACCGCGCGCGCTCACACACACCGTAAAGGGAAAAGGGAATTTAAGCTTGTTTTAAGGACGGCATAAGTTTCATAAATTAATCCTCGAAACGACGAGGGAGCTCCGCCCGGATCGCTATCGATGGTTAGATCGCGTAGGACGACGCGAAGGGCGGACGGGGGAGTGTATAATTCCATTTTGATACGTAATTTAAGTTTGAGCTTTAACCGCACCTCCGAAAACTCGAGATTGCCCGTCGTCTTTCCGTAAACGATGATAAGTTTGGAAATTAATCGGATAACGTGGAACGATTCGCAATCTTCGCTTCGCTAGACGTAACGTAAGTAAATAAAATGCGCAATGAAGTCGCGGATCAAATCGGAGATTTGCAAATTCGGAACTTGTGTAATTTGAATGTCGTACAAAGTAACATTTTTATAAATTCGACATCGCATGTTGAAAATAATTTTATCTTCGATAAAGTTCAAGACGACCTCGCGTCGATAGTTGCAGAGAAAGTTGGTCGGATGACAATTTCTGGAATTTTTGAGATAAGGATACCGGAAATTTGCGACGTTATTATACAAAAATAATATAAAATAGTTTAATAGAATTTAATAGTTTATATAGAGAATAATTTTAGTTATAAAATTATAATTTTAATTTGTATAACATGAAGATAAGAGAGAGAGAGAGAAATGAAGGAAAAGCGCGACTCCGACTGAATAATTAGCCACGCCCACAAGATTAATTTAAATTTAACGTCGTGTTAAGTAGCACGAGCGATCGCATTTGCATGTCACACCACCTACCGGCTCTAACTCAAGCGCGCACACAGCTCTCTATTAAATATTATCGCTCTCGCAAAACTATCCCCGCGACATTAAATAATTAAGCCTAGCGTGTTAATTAACATGTGTTTGGCTTGCGTGCACACGTTGCAAAAAAGGAAAACGCGCGCGCGAGCAGGGTAATATATCTCGTAGCAACAACATCATTTGTATAATGAACGTGAGTGAGACCTATCTACGCGCTCCGCGCATCGAACGTGATTGAATAAGATCGAGAAGCGAACTCGCCGACGTTCGCAAATTTCATCGTCGCAAGTTCCATGTGAACCCCATTCGCACAGATCCAGCTAACGAACAATATTTGTTCAATGCTGTCGAGCGCACTGCGTGCAAGACGTCGACGACGATAACGACGACGACGACGACGACGACGACGACGACGACGACGACGACGATGACGCTGCTCACTTTATAAGATAACCCCGTGCTCCTTCCCTCTCGTTCTCTCGCCGTTATTACAAGCCCGAATACGCGGAAAATGCAGATTTCTGCAATTTCTCGTCCCGCCACGTCTCGCAACGTTCCGCCGCGCCGTCCTTGCACCGAATGCACACTCGGCGCTGCCTCACCTCTTCCCCTCCATACGACACGGCAGTAACGTTTCCACGGTTAGTGAACTCCGAATTGGTCCTACCGAGACCGACCCCTCTCATCTCCCCTGTGCTTTACCCTCGACAAACTCTCTCAATCTCGTGCTCGACATTTCCGCGGGAAAATACGGCCCCCGTGTCGACTGGGAGACGTACCGTCAGGTCAGGATCGCGCCGCTCGTTTCGAGATTTCCACGGTGACGAATGAGAGAAAGCCCACCCTACCATCTCTCGATCCTTCCCTTCGTTTCGTATCTCGTTTTCACTCCTTTTCCGTCCTTCCTGTCTGGCTCGCAGGGCCAAGTCTACCGCTCGTACCCCGGCCGTAAGCTTCTCCCCGCGTCTTTGACTTCGCGTCTCGGGGGATAAAGTCAGCATTTTCTCAGAAGCTGCTTTATACGTGACGCGGTGATTCCCCGATTTATTGCTTATTGAAAGTTTCCGCGCGCGCGCGCGTTTTCTCTTTGTGCGCTTGTGCTCTCCCCGCGTAGCGGATCTTTTCCCTAAATCTTCGTCGGAGTTTCTGTAACATTAATATTAATTTTCCGAAAAACTTTTTCTTGTGACTTTTTTGAGAGTTCGCCAAGTGAATTATTTCATGTTCGGAGGAAATAAATATTTCTCGCTGTTTAACGTTGCGATGAACGACCCTCATTGTATCGGCAGTGCACAAACGTCCGTTGCGTCGTAATTTCACGGCTCACTAACGATCGTACTATTACATCGCACACACACGGCGTTCGTCTAATCGCGCGGACGCACGCCGAGATAGTCACGGACAATTATTTCTCGTGTATGTGTTAGGAGAGATGTTGCAAAAAGCCACTTCTTTTTATCTTTACACGGCCTTCGAGGCACACATCACATGTCGTTGCGTGACACAAAATAATCGTTTCCATCTTGCGCCTCGGAAATTACGATATTCGATCGAACAGCTCCATGACCTTTTTCTTCTATTGTTATAGTTGGTCAGGTTTTACATCGTATATATTTTTGACAACGTCCCTATTTTCGTGACCGCGTCTGAACACAGTTAAAAATATTTTTTCAGTCTTGATCATCCGTTTGTGTAATTATTAATAACGTATGGATATGAA